CCTGAATAATGATCGCCCCACGTCACGACCGACCCATCACCGAGGATCGCAGCAAAAGCAGAGAAAGAAGCTTGGATGTGCTTCACGCCCTTCAGAATCACGATTGCCCCAAGTCACGACAGACCCATCACCGAGGATCGCGGCAAAAGCAGAAAAAGAAGCTTGGATGTGCTGCACGCCGTGTAACTGAGCTTGCACGGAACTGCTGTCCCCATGGTCTTTAGCACAGCCCCAGGTCTCGACAGACCCATCGCCGAGGACCGCGGCACAAGTACGACCCGATCGTTTCCTCCAAGCGCTGACTTCCGGCTGCTGTACTCGCAGGTACAGCTCATCACCGTTCTGTATCCTCGCTCGTTTAACTGTTCGTGACACGTCCAGTACCTGGCCATCAGCACTCAACAGCCGACCTCTGCCAACAGCCAGAGCGCTTTGGGCTCTTTGGTTCAACTCCGCCACCGTTGCATCTTCCGGAGTTTCAAGTGAAACCCTCCTGCCGCTGAGCAGATGCACATCAACCGAAATTGCCATGGCCAGTGCTTAAGGCCAGGGGAGATTGGTCACAACTCCCTCTCACACTCGATCGCAGTGCTCTGCAACAGAGGAAGGAAGATACCCTAGCCCTAAACCCTGAACTCCAGAAAAGAGGTTAGGGTTCAGGGCTTAGGGCTGAAAGCGGTAGATTTGAACCTGATGAGCTCGAAACCATCTTGTGCTGCGTCGGTGACAGGAAGGCTGTGTAACAACAACCTACAAAAGCCTTCGGGGTTTAGGGCTCAGGGTTTTAAGAGAGGTTCAAGCTTTACGGGCTTGGGTTGGTACAGGATTTGGGAGACTGTGCCGTCAATATCCGCACTTGTATCTCAACAGCTGGGGGGGGGGGGGGGGGGGGCCCTTAGCCCGGAGTTTTTGAGAACCAAAACCCACAGCCCAGCACCCAAGACCCTAAACCCTAACCTTAAATTCCTAAACCCTAACCCTAAACCCTAAATCCTAAACCCTAAACCCTAAACCGAAACCCTAAACCCTAAACCCTAAACCCTAAACCCTAAACCCCCTAAACCCTGAACCCTAAACATCCAATGGAAAAGCCGAGCAGACTTAGCCTCCTCTGTTTTTGCTAGTCTTTTTAGTGCTTCTCCTACATGCGAGAGAGACTAAAAAAAAACAAAGAGAGAGAGAGAGAGGGGGAAGAGAGAGAGAGACAGAGAGAGAGAGAGAGAGAGAAAGAGAGAGAGGAGAAGTACTGTATGTGTTTGCATACTAGTTTGGCAGTTCGCGTGCCTCTTCCTGTGCCTGTGCCTGTTCCTGCGGCCTGCGCCTGCGCCTGGGCCTGGGCCTGGGCCTGTGCATGTGCCTGTGCCTGTGCCTGTGCCTGTGCCTGTGCCTGTGCCTGTGCTCGTGCGCCTGGGCCTGTGCCTGTACTCGTGCGCGTGCGTGCCTGTGACTGCGCGCGTGCCCGTGCATGCGCTGGTGGGTGCGAGCGGGAGTGTGGGCCGGCGTGCGCACGTGTGCACGTGCGTGTGCGCTTGCGTGTGTGCGTGGGCGGGTGGGTGCGCGGGTGTGTAGGTGCGTCGGTGCGCAGGTGAACGGGTGGGTGTCTCTGTATGTGTCTGTGTCTCTGTCAGTGTCAGTGTCTGTGTTTACTATTGCGTTGTGCTGCGTGATGTTCTGTTGTATCTTGCTCTGTTGTGCTCCGGAGTGGTGGGGCGTCATGCATGAACCCTCCAGTTGGTGATCCCGAAACCCGAAAGACGTAGGCGCGCTGCCCCCACCACTCGTTGATGTGGCGCATGATCTCCAGGCGCAGCCTGAAGTCAGGTTCAGTCTGAACAAGGGGGGGGGAGGGGGGGGGGGGCCTCACTTGTCATACTCGCGGTTCAAAGGGTTTGTAGGGTTTATAGGCGTTTACAGGGTTTATAGGGCTTGAGTGTTTATAGGTTTTATAGGCTTTATAGGGTTCATAGGGCTTGTAGGGAGATTTGCGCACGAAACTTCTCTATAACGGGATCCGGATGACAAGGAACCCTTAGAGGGACTTCCACATCCATGGCTGGCTTAGGGTTTAGGGTTTAGGGTTTAGGGTTTAGGGTTTAGGGTTTAGGGTTTAGGGTTTAGGGTTTAGGGTTTAGGGTTTAGGGTTTAGGGTTTAGGGTTTAGGGTTTAGGGTTTAGGGTTTAGGGCTGGTCATGCGCACTTAGGAACTGTCGATCAGCTCGTCTAAAAAATCATCAGGATGTGTGTCCCGGTTCACGGGTTGACAGATATCCTAACCCTAATTCCTAACACTCCTCTAAACCTATTCAGACGACGGGTTAAGGTCGGGCCGACTCATCCACAAACATCCAGGGAAGAAGCGGACATTCGTACAGCAACGGGGGGGGGAGGGCCTTCTGAAACCGACTCTGCGCCTTTGGTTGCCACAATTGGAAAAAAACCCTAAATCCTAATTCCTAAACCCTAAACCCTAAACCCTAAACCCTAAACCCTGAACCCTAAACCAGAGAGTTTTCAGGTACCCACTTCCCCAGAAAGAGAACTCGCAAGGTGCAGGCTGAACTGTCGCGTGATTGGCCCAAAAGTGAGGGCGGCACTTCACGATCAGCGCCAGGGGCATGCGCATGTCGGGGGTTGTGTCGACTTCGTGCGCCTGTCACAAGGAAAGGTGCGATCTTCGGGAAGTCACCTGAAGGGCTCTGGGCCAGTACTGTTCGAAGCCGGATATGCCCCTTATCTACCTAATAAAACCCAAGTGCCCAGATTTCAAAACCCTTTACCCAAACCTGAACCCTGAACCCCAACCCTAAGCCCTAGATGGTAACACACGTCAACGACCCTAAGCTCTGACTCGGATCAAAGACTCCCTTTAGACAAACGTGCAGCTGTCTTTTTTCGGGTTCAGGTTTAGGGTTTAGGGTTTAGGGTTTATAGGGTTTATAGGGTTTATAGGGTTTAAGGGTTTAAGGGTTTAAGGGTTTAAGGGTTTAAGGGTTTAAGGGTTTAAGGGTTTAAGGGTTTAAGGGTTTAAGGGTTTAAGGGTTTAGGGGTTTAGGGTTTAGGGTTGAGGGTTCAGGGTTCAGGGTTAGGGCCGAGGTAGCCGATGCCGATGCGCCATGTAGTACGGACACTTTGCGGGTGTCTGCGGTAGTATTTACAGCGACCTGAAGGGTCCCTGAACCTCATAGTTGCCCCTTTCTCTTGTCTTGGGGTTGAGGTCGTGAGAGCTTATCTTGAGGTGTAGAGCTAAACTTGAAGGTTCATGGGTACTTACAAATCGGGTTATAAGTTTATGAAGAGTTTATCGTTTAGGGTTTAGGGTTTAGTGCTTAGGGTTTAGGGTACATATGACCCCACTTATAAGTACCCATGAACCTCCAAGTAGGGTTGAGGCTTGGTGGTCGAGTCTAGCTTCTAGCAGGGGGAGCCGGAGTGCCCTTCCGAACTCCATTAGAGCTGGGAGTCAAAAGAAGTCCGTTTCTAAAAGGTCGAAAGCTTAAGGTTCAGGGATTAGGGCCATTTATATACATATAGAATTAGTTTATTTCATTTCATTTCATTTTTTGGGGGGGGGGGGGGGCAGGCAGACCCTTGACTTCGCCATCCAACCATGCACCTGAAACCCCACTGCAACGCACGGCGCCTCCCTGGGGGCAGCAAGGATCTCCTGCGAGGGCGCGGGCTTCCCTAAACCCCAAACCCTAAACCCCAAACCCTAAACCCCAAACCCTAAACCCTAAACCCTAAACCCCAAACCCTAAACCCTAAACCCCAAACCCTAAACCCGAAACCCTAAAGGGCTTCTAGGGTTGAAGCGTAAGGTCCAGCCTCAACCCCAAGCCCTAAAACAGAAAACCCAGCTTATAGGACAGCAAGGCATAACATGAGGTGCACGGGGCATCAAGGAGATGGGATGCATGTCATCGGATGGGCTTACAGACAGGTTCAGGGTGTAGGGTTTAGGATGGCCTTCTGGTACTTTGGGGCGTATGTATTGCTTCATGAAGCGTACAGCAATGTGGAGAGGGGTGGGGGGCCTAAACTCTCAGCCCTGACCTGACATTGAGGCCGAAACTGAAACTCGAAACCCTCAACGCGTGGGTTATGGGTTTAGGGTTTAGGGCGGTTTAGGGTTTGGGGTTTTGGGTTAGTTTTGGGTGTAGGGTTTAGGGTTTAGGGTTTAGGGTTTAGGGTTTAGGGTTTAGGGTTTAGGGTTTAGGGTTTAGGGTTTAGGGTTTAGGGTTTGGGGTTTGGGGTTTGGGGTCTAGGGTTTAGGGTTTAGGGCGGTGATCAACCTAAATGGGGTCTAAGGGTTTGGATGTAGGTCTAATAGAGGCACTTACAGACCCTGGGCATGGAGTTGTTTGGAAGAGGGGCCAAAGGGTTAGGGTTTAGGGTTTAGGGTTTAGGGTTTAGGGTTTAGGGTTTAGGGTTTAGGGTTTAGGGTTCAGGGTTTAGGGTTTAGGGTTTTGGGTTTTGGGGTTTGGGTTTTGGGTTTAGGGTTTAGGGTTTAGGGTTTAGGGTTTAGGGTTTAGGGGTTTGAGGTTCAGGGCCCGGGTTAGAATTGCGCAATCCTCGATCATGTCAGGGGTCAAGAAGGCAGCACCTCGCGAGACCTTTGTGGGGAGTGGGGAGAGCCAGCTCACCCTCTCCACTACCCGAGTGCGGCTTTAAAAAAAAAACGAAGCTCTAAACCGTAAACCCTAAACCCAACACCCTAAACCCTAAACCCTACACCCTAAAGCGCAAGCCCTAAACCCTAAACTGGCCCTAAGCCCTGAACGCCTCAAGAAAATAAGCCAAGCAGCCCAACCCACCTGGGAGTCGCATCCTAAACAAGAGCAGCACACAAGTCACAATCTTTCTTCGCTGCAGAAACCCCCCTAAGAATGCTTCTTCCTTATAAGGGCAATATAGGGATTATTGTTCATGTACCCTTAAAGCCCCAAACCTCCTAAAGCCGATACCCAATTTCGATCCTTTCGGGCCCAAAACCCCAGGAGTTAGCTCGGGACGTGCTTCTCGCGCTGGATGGGAATCAAGTCATTGAGTTCCTGCCGGTGAAATTCAAGATATTGGGGGGGGGGGGGGGGGGGCCCTAACAAATAGTAGGATTCCCTGACCACAAGGACCCCAAAAAGGTAACCCTAATGTCGGAAACCCCCCCCCCCAATTTTTTCGCTGTTGCAGATCGTGCTTCGGTGTTTCAACTTCGAGTCTCAAGCAGCTTCGGAGATGATCGGAGATGCTGCCTCGAAATCCAGTTGGCATGCCGTCACAAAGAGCGATCTTCGGCAAATCTCTTCCTTCTTGCGACCAGCGTGGAAAATGGCAACGTTGATCTCATCCACCCTCTGGGTGGATGAACTGCCGGGCGGCTCCTCGCAACCCCCCCCCCCCCCGCAGTTGGCTCTCTCCCGGCTCCTGACGATAGCCCTCCGCGGCCGCCAAGACTCGAAACCGACAACCCTAGACTACGTCCTGGGTGTTTGTCTGGCTGTTGTTGAGACATGTGCGCATGAGTTCGAGTTCTGCCGTGAAGATAGCTTACACCCTCTCCATCTTCCTCCCACAGCCCCTCTCATAAAGGAACACCCGCACACACCTTTGCAGAGGACATCTTATCAAAGCCTTGCACACCCCCTTTTGACTTTGCAAGTGGGGTTAGTAAGGTGGGCTGTGGAGTGGGGTTTCTGCGGGATACTAAGTAAGTCAGCGCTTCTAAGTCTACCACCCAAGAGTAACCTAGGAACAACAACGGTGCCCGTTTTAGAGTGGGTTACGAGGGGTCCTAAGTCCTACACAAAAGGAAGAGGAGCCCACCACTCCCTGGAACCCCCCCCCACACACAAAAAAGAAAACTCTGGAACCAACACAAAGACCGGCAAACTCTTCCAACAAAGGTCCGCGCCTGTTTCAACAACCCCCCCCCCTTTCTAAAACCCTCAACCCTAAACCCTGAACCCTGAATAAACCCTAACCCCTGAATTCGTGAACCACAAAAACATTCCGCAGAGGAGCGAACCTCAAACTCCTGTCTCGAGACCAAACCGCGGATTCGCAGCCGATCCCAGTCAATCTCGGTAGCCGCGCACTCGCTCAACTTACATTCTGTTTAGGGTTTAAGGGTTTAAGGACAAATTTAGGGTTTGGGTTTAGGGTTTAGGGTTTAGGGCTTAGGGTTTAGGGCTTAGGGCTTAGGGTTTAGGGTTTCGGGTTTCGGGTCTCGGGTTTGGGGTTTGGGGTTTGGGGTTGAGGGTTCAGAGGCCTCCACGCATACGCAGGATCTCCAAACTGAGGACAACCGCACCCGTTTTAGGGTTTTAGGGTTTTAGGGTTCTAGGGTTTTAGGGTTTCAGGGTTTTAGGGTTTTAGGGTTTTAGGGTTTTAGGGTTTTAGGGTTTTAGGGTTTTAGGGTTTCCATGGAACATCATGGAACATCATGGAACAAGTCGATCAAACGGCTGGCGCTCACCAACCGTAAGTGGCACACCAGGCGCTTCTGCTCTCCTGGCCGCAGTCTTGAACCCTAAACCCTAAACCCTAAACAGTAAACCCTAAACCCTAAACCCCAAACCCTACTTGAGAGGTCACAAGGCTTTCGGAGCACTTGGGCCAAGACTCATCACTGAACTTGGGTAGCTCTCTAAATGGGGATCCCGTTGTAGATCCCCTATAACGCACGGCACCCCTCAAGTGAGGGCCCTACAGTCGGTTTAGGGTTTGGGGTTTAGGGTTTGGGGTTTAGGGTTTGGGGTTTAGGGTTTAGGGTTTAGGGTTTAGGGATTAGGGTTTACCCCAATTGACAGACCTACCCTTTTGAGGGGCTGAGAGTCCGACTGTGCGTGTGGATGTACGAACATCACGACCCCCCGCTTTTCTGAAGCTCTGTTCCAACTTAGCAGCTCTCTGAGCATGCCTGGGACTCGATGCCCCAGACCCAAAACGAGGAGTAAGTTTAGAGTTTAGGGGTTTAGGGGTTTAGGGGTTTAGGGGTTTAGGGGTTTAGGGGTTTAGGGGTTTCGGGTTTAGGGTTTAGGGTTTAGGGTTTAGAGTTTAGGGTTTAGGGTTTAGGGTTTAGGGTTTAGGGGTGTAAACCCTGGCAATAAACCAGGATCTCAGAAGATGGTCACGCATGTTTTGCACAAGCAGTGGTCGTACGCCGAAACCTGCTTCAAAGGCCTGTGGCAAGTACTCCACATATGAGCCCGGCGCCAAACTTCCAGTTTCCTCATGATTACCATTAGGGCTCCACTGACCCCTAAACCCTAAACACTAAACGCTAAACGTAAATGCTAAACCCTAAACCCTAAACCCTAAACCCTAACCCCTAAACCCGAAACCCTAAACCCTAAACCCTGAACCCTACGAGTCTTAGAGAAGAGTGCAACAGAAGACAAGGACGAATGGCCTGAGATTTGGCCGCGGATGAGGCCGTCGTAAGCAATCCTGGAAGGGGCTGAGGAGGCCTGTCTTAGATTAAGGTTGGGATGTTCCCCCTTATGCTAACAGTCCTTAATACGGAATATCGTACTTAGTACGGAATATAGTACCCCGAATTATAATCCCTAGTAAGCACTGTTAGTATCAGGGGGAACATCTCAGATTGAAGCTACCAAGAGAGCCCAATACCCCTTCATCAGGGAATTTGGACCCTCGTATGATTCAAGGCATATTCCCCTAGTCAAGGGGCATGGGGCCTCTTTGGGTACTTTTGGCTCACCGCATATGATTGGGCCCGTGCATGGTTGGGGGTGCCACCAGGCGTTTCCAGTGTCATCTTCAAAGGCAAGCCGAAAACGCCAGTCTTTTACTTGTGGCTCAGCATCCTCCATTTCTTGTGGCTCCGACTTTCTGACGAAGCCTGGCTGTCCCTGCTTGCGACTTGGGCCACCTGCCCGAAACCCTAGACCCTAAACTCTAAGCCCTCAAACCCTAGACCCTCAAACCTAAACCCTGAAACCCTAAACCCTAAACTCTAAGCCCTAAAACCCTAGAACCCTCAAACCTAAACCCTGAAACCCTAAACCCTATGGGACGCCACCGGTGCCTGGTGGGTCGTGAGTGCCATGAAACTCACACTTTAGGTTCCCGACGCAGGAATTTGACGCTAGACTTTGATGTAAGAAAGCCCTACCCCGTTGAACCCTAAACCGCCTAAACCCTAAACCCTAAACCCTAAACCCTAAACCCTAAACCCTAAACCCTAAACCCTAAACCCTAAGCTTGAGTCACGTCGATTCAACCGGCAAAGTCTGGTGCAAGGAAGCCTCGACCTGATTTCCAAGCAAAAAGCCTCCAAACAGGGTTTAGGGTTTAGGGTTTAGGGTTTAGGGTTTAGGGTTTAGGGTTTAGGGTTTAGGGTTTAGGGTTTAGGGTTTAGGGTTTAGGGTTCAGGGTTTAGGGTTTAGGGTTTAGGGTTTGGGGTTTGGGGTTTGGGGTTTAGGGTTTAGGGTTTAGGGTTTAGGGTTTAGGGTTTAGGGTTTAGGGTTTAGGGTTTAGGCAGATCCCAAACTGCCCATTCCGGCCTCGTGTGGAGCTTCACAGAGACTGTGAAGGCAAGGGCCAGCCTCCAACCATCTCTAGATAACTGCCAAGGCGAGGGTTTGGGGTTTAGGGTTTAGGGTTTGGGGTTTAGGGTTTGGGGTTTAGGGTTTAGGGTTTGGGGTTTAGGGTTTAGGGTTTAGGGTTTAGTGTTTAAGGATCTAGGGTTTAGGGTTTAGGGTTGAGGGTCTTATACAGTCATAGTAGCATCAACTACCCAAGATACGCATTTTACCTAAGTAGCCTGAAACCCGAGACTGGGGAGGGACGTAACCAGGCCCCCTGTATTTGGGCTCTTGTTAAGTAGCTTAAAGTTCTCCTCGCAGGGTCGTTCTTTTTGTTAATACATGAATAAATATACTATATAACTATAAGAAGTAAAGAATAATACTCATACTTATACTAAGGACAATACTAAAAAACACAAAGTCCTTAACAGGAAAACGGCGAAACTGTCAGTTGAGAAAAGAGCCACACCTTGAAAAAAACACATGAGCCCTCTTATGGGCATTGGGCATGCGATCCCGATAGTAGGGCTGTGTCTGGTCTCACACCCTAAACCCTAAACCCTAAACCCTAAACCCTAAACCCTAAACCCTAAACCCTAAACCCTAAACCCTTTGGACACGAGGAAGAGCTGACATGACGTGGTACACGGCGCGCAGTTGGCTAGAGGCTTAGGGCTTACTTGGAGGCGCATGGGTACTTATAAGTGGGGTTGCATGTACGCCTAGACCCTAAACCCTAAACTTGCCCTAAACCCTAAACCCTAATTCGGGTTATAGCCAATGATATCTATAGCTATCCTTGTAACCTTGTGTATTATCCGTACCCATGAACCTCCGAGTAGAGTGCTGAGGGTCACTTACAAGCAGGGCATTAACCCCAACCCTAAACCCTAAGCCCTAAACCCTAAACCCCTGAAAGGCACCGAAGCATTCTTGGAAGTTCGTAAATAGGGTCATGTCGCTGTTGCCCTCTTGGTTTATTCAGGGGTCATGAGGGAACATAAGCTCTCAGAAAAGGGGCATAAGGGCCTACTCTGGGTCCTAGTTGCCCTAAACCCTAAACCCTAAAACCCTAATCCCTAAACCCTAATCCCTCAGCGTAAATAGGGTTCACGCCGCTGTTGCCTGATGATGTTGATCCTCGCCATGCTGACGCGGGCATCCGCGATGTCTTCCACCCTGGGCCATAGGACCGAGGAGGAGACCCTTAGCCCCAAGCCCTACACCCTAAGCCCTAAACCCTAAACCCTAAGCCCTAAACCCTAAACCCTAAACCCCCAAATGGCGGGTGCCAGCCTCTGTTCAAGAGCTCCGGGGCGCCACTAACGGAACGGATAGATGGATAGATGGACCACTGCAAGTAATTCACAGACAGCACCGACGTTCAGGGTTCAGGGTTTGGGGCTTACGATTGAGGGTTTAAGGTTTAGGGGTGAGGGTTTAGGCGAGACCTTTCGGTTCGGTGCTAAAGGGAACCTTCAGTTATCAGGGTTCAGGGGACAGCTTACATCTGCTGTGGCTCATGAACACCAGGCCCCGCCACTCGCGGCGGCGCGGCTCACTTGCCCGCTCCATGCGCCAGGCCTGAAGAATCGATTGCGGGAAGATGCCATGTCCTAGGTTACAGGTCGGGATGTTCCCCCCTATGCTAACAGTCCTTAATAGGCATTATAGTGCCCCCCTCTTCTCATCCCCATTCAGGACTGTTAGTATAAGGGGATACATCCCAAGTTATAGGCTTTAAGGGTCATGAGTGTTTCGGGAAGTTTAGGGCTTGTAGAGTTAGGGTTTAGCGCTAGAAATGCCCAGAACGGCCAAAGATCCCATTGGTTGACCTCAACCGCTCTCTTGCCTGGCTTTACGCCAGTGTTCATGGAATAGCCTGGCTTTTTTGCCCGAGAGAGCTAGGAATAGGGCCATGGTGCTTAAAGGCAGCACCTAGCTGGGATGTACAGCATTATATTAGTGCTGGTGTGCCCTTGGCTGCCAATTGAAAAAGCAACCCAGGATGCGTAGAAAGCCGTGTGATGCCCGCATCTTATTAGCAGGTTGCCGCGAAAGATGGGCGCTTTCATAACAGATCTACAGTCACAAAGAAAGAGCTATGACTGACAAAGCCTCCGAAGTCTCAAAAAGCCCTGCATGACATGCGCCCTCATGCCAAGCCCCTGAAACCCTGTCATACTCTACACCCTCAAAATCAACAGACCTAGAAACAGAAGCACAGAACTTCAAACCCTACGATGCTGAAAAAAACACAAGCCCTACATCCTCAAACCCAAACCCAAAATTCGAAACGCAAAATTAAGTTTAAAAAAAAATATATATATCCGAATCCAAAATGCTTCCCCTTCTTTGCAAGGTCCCGGCCATGTTGGCCTCTCCGCCCAGGCATCCCACACACATGAGCATGACGAACCTTGGAACGAAACCCTAAACCCCAAACCCTAAATCCTAAACCCTAAACCCTAAATCCTAAACCCTAAACCCTAAACCCTAAACCCTAAACCGTTGAGAGATTCGGTCCTCGGGTCTGAGGATAGCCAGAACCTATCTGGAGGAACCCCCCCAAATAGTGCATCACCTACTTTGGGAGACGCCCCACCGCATCTTACTCCCTGAGCCTCGGAAGCCCGAAATTGTTCTTGGGGCTTTAGGGTTTTGGGGCTTTAGGGCTTTGACGGAGCCTGACCTAGACCCCAACATTCGTCAACTGCGTAACAAGAAGACCACGACACGCACGCCGCAAGTGCCTTCGGTATGATATGAGGCTATCGCTGAAACTATATGCTTTCTTCCAATATCTCGATCTTGCCACCGCATTTACACTTTGCAATGAACGAGCGGGAGCGAATATTATGAGTGTGACCCTTTTGGAAATCCTTGTATAGCTGGCTTCTGTTTGCGTGGGGGCCGAGCGCGTGCCAACCAATGCCGACCACGTTTACCCCGAACGCAAAGAGCCCCCATGATTAGAGCCCCATAATTCGAGCTCCACAAATAGAGAGTCTGCAGAATTTTTGGGGGAACGCACCGCGAAATGGTGTCCGTGACCCTGGGCTACCGAGATGCTGAGGGGCGGCCTAAAGCTCGAAAGATTGAAGAATTCCGTGGCGGTGCTCTTGAAAGAACCCTGAAACCGAAACCACGACAAAGGGTTTAGGGTTTAGGGTTAGGGTTTAGGGCTTAGGGCGTAGGGTTTAGCTTAGCAGTGCAAAGCGACTCATGTCCGAGGACCCGACTCCCGGAGGGCGATAAACATGCGCGTCAAGTAGCCGCGGCCAAGCCAGTATCGCCTGCAGCGCGCTCAAAGAAGGCCCCCTCGGGGCCCCATGGGAAACCGCGGGCTGGCTGAGGTTTAGGGTTTAGGGTTTAGGGTTTTAGGGTTTAGGGTTTTAGGGTTTAGGGTTTAGGGTTTAGGGTTTAGGGTTTAGGGTTTAGGGTTTAGGGTTTAGGGTTTAGGGTTTAGGGTTTAGGGTTTAGGGTTTAGGGTTTAGGGTTTAGGGTTTAGGGTTTAGGGCTTAGGGTGCGGAGTTCAGAGTTTAGGGTCTAGGGCTTGGGCGAGGGTTTGGGGTTTAGGGTTTCGGCGGCCTGAATAGTTAGAATAGGGTCTTGGGGGTAATTATGGTATAATGATATAGGGATCATAAGGGAATAGTATTGGTATTATGAAGAACCTTCTAACTACCCTTGAACCATCACATAGGTTAAGGGTTGACGCCGCATAGATAACTTTTAAGTCGTTGACTGCTTACTGGCGTGCGGCTCTCTAAAACCTGACATCAACATGTCGGGTGGTTGTCAAAATTATGGTCTCCCTTTTGGAGTGACCGTGGGGGGCTTTACGAGCCCCCTCTTTTCGTAGCCACCCCACCTAATGTAAAATACGGTTGAAACCGCAGTTGTCGGACCATCGGGAGGGTTTGGGATTACCCCTAAACCCTAAACTTTAAACCCTAAACCCTAAACCCTGAACCCTGAACCCTGGATCTTGGCTGCAGGGGTTTCCAGTCAGGGAGCACTTTTATTCACTTGCCCTGAAGCATGGAGCGCTCTGGGAGTGGCTATTCACTCCCAACTGACCGTCGCACATGGCAGGCCCCTAAAACCTAGACCCTAGACCCTAAACCCTAAACCCTAGACCCTAAACCCTAAGCCCTAAACCCCAAACCCTAAACCCTAAACCCAACACGTGCTTCCTTAACCGATCTTCCGATCTGGGGGTTTAGGGTTTAGGGTTTAGGGTTTCGGGTTTAGGGTTTAGGGTTTAGGGGTCAGGGCTTAGGGCTTAGGGTTTAGGGTGGAGGGTCGAAAAGTCTCTTTGCCGGATCAACTCGCAGCACACTGTCTTCTCAGTCGGCCGCGAAGCTTTCATTGAAAATGCTCAAGTCCAGCACATGAGGGCAGAAGAAGCCATCGCATCGGTCGTCCTCCGTCACTAGCTTGTACAAGGGCGGCGCCTTCTTGTCCAAGGTGGACTCAGCTAGCTCTTGAGGGCTTGGGGGTGCGCCGGAATCCAGCATCAGACCATACTCGGGAGGAGCCACCGAACCAAACTGGACGTCATGAACGAACCCATCTCCAGAGCAGTTGGGCCTGTTCAGAATGCGGGAATAGGAGCCCTCCTTTACGATTGAGGGCTTCTTCCCGGTCCTCTTGTGGCCGGCACAGAAATCGGAGCCGTTTGCCACGAACAAGGTGTCATGTACCTCCCACTTCGAGTCACCACCACTCAAAGGACAGCTGGTGCCCGCCACCAGCAGATAGTTTCGGGTCTTGGAGTTCTCACAGGAGGTCATGGCCACCTCTCCTTCGCGGAGCTCTGGGTTGCTCCGGAACCTCATCATGCCATGCCTTGCGTGTGGGGAGGCTCTCTTGTTATTACTGCTTGCTGTTGTGCTATTTTTGTTGCCGTTGTTCCTAGTGTCATTCGTGTTATGACGGTTATACTAGGGGGCACGATCATCCCTATTCAGGACTGCTAGTATAAGGGGTACCATCCCAACTAATCTATATCAATATCATCTGTATTTTTTCTATGAAACAAAAAGGCGCCTTGAAGGTTTCCAAGACCCGAGAGTCGCCAAAAAACCCACCGAAAGAGGGGACCAAAATCACTAAAACCCTGAACCCTAAACCCTAAACCCTAAACCCTAAATCCTAAACCCTAAACCCTAAACCCTAAACCCTAAACCCTAAACCCTAAACCCTAAACCCTAAACCCTAAACCCTAAACCCTAACCCTAAATCCTAAACCTCCACAAACTTCCCTGCGCCAAGCTGCTTCGACATCTTCGGAAACCACGGGTCGCCACAGGCCTCCTTGCCTAAGGTTTTCAGTGACCCAGGGTTTAGGGTTTAGGGATTAGGGTTTAGGGTTTAGGGTTTAGGGCATAAGGAACCCGGAACCCAAAAAAGTAAAAAAACATACTACTGAACAGCCTAGTTACCCAGGCCCAGACCCACGGACTCAATGACAACCTCTTCCGTTTTCCTGGGTTGCCCCCTACCGGGCTTTAGGGTTTTTAGGGTTCAAGGTCTAGGGCTTGGGGTTTAGGGTTTAGGGTTTAGGGTTTAGGGTCTAGGGTCTAGGGTCTAGGGTTTAGGGTTTGGGGTTTGGAGTTTAGGGTTTAGGGTTTAGGGTTTAAGGACAACTAAGCCGACTTCTAGTCAAAAGTTCTGCCCGGCGTCTTCTTGTAGCACACGGTCCAAAGCGATGGGATCATCGTGGTGGCTGCGAGGTCCTGCAGAATCTGGGCAGCCCAGCAGCCATCTTATAATAAGGGTTTAGGGTTTAGGGTTTAGGGTTTGGGGTTTAGGGTTTCGGGAGCCCTTACTAATAGTGATTGCAGAATAGGGGGTACTGCAATCTCTATGAAGGATTGCTAGCACAAGGGGGAACATCCTCAAGGGTACCCTTTTTTGGGGTTGGTGACTTTACCAGGGAACCTTGAACCAACCAAACGGAGAAAAAAAGGTTACCACTGGGCTGGCAAGGAAAGAGGCCCCAGCTCAGGGCTTGGAGGTTTTCGGGGCTCACAAGAGATGCTGTGCTCAAGCTTGAGGGTTTAGGGTTTAGGGTTTAGGGTTTAGGGTTTAGGGCTTAGGGCTTAGGGTTTAGGGTTTTGGGTTTAGGGTGTAGGGTTTAGGGCTTCGGGTTTTCAAACAAGCTCCCCGACGATGAGGAGCACACGGAGAACAACCATCATGCTGGCCATCTGCCAACTTTCAAGGGATTCAGACCCCTATGGTTGAACCCTTAAGCCCTAAACCCTAAACCCTAAGCCCTAAACCCTAAACCCTAAACCCCACTTAGTATACTCCTAATATGGCATGTAGATGCCCTTAAGAAACCCTTCAAAAGGGACCCCAAAACCCAACGGTACAACCTTAAGGGTCCAAGGTAGGGTTTACGGTTTAGGGTTTGGGGTTTAGGGTTTAGGGTTTAGGGTTTAGGGTGTAGGGTTTAGGGTTTAGGGTTTAGGGTTTCGGGTTTAGGGTTTCGGGTTTCGGGATTCGGGTTTAGGGTTTAGGGCTTAGGCTTTGCAAAGCCCCAGTCCTTAAACGTGCTCCTAATCTCCGTCGCTGGGCGTGGGTCGGCGATGACCAAACCATCACTCGCCGAGCTCAGCGATCGAAGAAATTTCACAAGCAGGTGCGGCACCTCCGCGGCATGTACTATAGGGGACCTTGGAAACTAGGATAGGGCTTTGGGGGTTATTCTAGTATTACTTACATAGGGACCATAAGGGAAGACTATATTAGTAATTTCTTTTACCCGCATAAAACTAAGGAGCCGAAGACATCCTTACTTCTCCAAAAACCAAGGAAGAAAAAGGTTTAACTTCATATAAGAAACCCCAGAAAGTCTAAAGTTTAAATATCGACTCAGTAAGCATATCGGCGGCCTTAATAACTAGGACAGGGCTTTGGGGGTCGTAAGTAGGGACCATAAGAAATGCTTCACATACTAATCTTTCTCCGACCCCTATATTAAACAACTGGGCTGTGAGCCCAAATACCCCGAGCTTTTGGTCAATCTGCATATATCTGCATCCACAAGAAGTATCTTTTGGGACAACCCCTCCCCCGCTGCGATTCATACAATGTTCATCCCAGAGCCCGCAAATTTGCAAAAAAGGGGACTGCGGAAACCACGGCGCCTTGCCGCCTTCCAACAAGACCTCTCCCGGCCAATGGGCAACAGCACGCATTCCTTTAGAACCAAGGGACAACAAGGCCTTCTCTAGCGGCTGCTATGACGCGCCTTCAGCCGAGACTTTCTGCTTCAAGTCTGGAGATGGGAGGTAAAGGTGTTTAGGGCTGAAGGCAGCACTTTTCACTGCTCTTTAGGATCGCAGCTGTGAAAAAGCACGGGGGGTACATACCATGACGTCACTGGCGACGAGTTTTTCTTGGCCCACCCCCTCCCCCGCTGCGAACTCCCTGGGACCCGACCCCAGCTTCCCTTGGAAAGAAGCACCCCCCCCCAAAAAAAAAACACACACAAAAACGTAAGGATCCGAAAATCTTGGGGTATAAGGGCCCCTGTTGAGGGGGGATTCCGAAAAACCCTGTTTGTAGGATCCTTATGTTTTTTCACGGTCTTTCGGGCCCCTATTCACTGCCAATCAAGGCAAACACAAGGCTTCATGGGTCCTCCCCGGCAATCCGAAAGCTTAGGCTGCGGGTTCTCAAGTTTCGGGCTTCGGCTCGGCTACTCTCCGGCATCTTTTCCCTCGACCTGCAGATGCTTTCCCAGTTAGAATTTAGCATTCAAGGCCCCTGCAACCCTCCCACTGCGCACCCCTCGATACTCGTAACCCCCAGGAAAGATTGCAGGTCTTTGTCGGGTAAAGGAACTACCCACCCCGACCGGCCTCCTCATTAAATAACTTGGCAAAGTGGAACCGGCGGTCGAGCAGAAGGAAGCTGGCCCTCGCAGCCTCCGGGCAGTCCGCAGACTCATGCCAATCCGAATCTGCAGTTGCGAGTCGCGCCACTCGCGCACGAAGGGATCGAAGATCCCAGGGAAAATGTTCGAACTGGCTATTGGAGCCCAAGCTGTGCAGCACCCAGTGCTGCGGGACACCCGTGCTGCCGTTGCTGCCGTTGCCGCAGAACCCCGGTGGGATTGCAACCTACACTCCCATTTTAGAACCTTAATAAAAATAGCATTGGGGTTTAGGGTTTAGGGTTTAGGGTTTAGGGTTTGGGGTTTGGGGTTTAGGGTTTAGGGTTTGGGGTTTAGGGTATCCTCTTGGGTTTTATCAAAGCAAAAATGAAAACTACTTCCAAAGGGGAAATATAGCAACTGGCACGTCGCGAACGGCAAGCTGCCGGCCCCGCCGAAGCCTCAGACGGATGTACCTGACGTTCTTCCCGTCCTGGTCCGCCTGAGCCTCCACGATGTGGAACGGTGGGATGCTGTTGAGGCCTTCCTTGTCCCAGCGCTGCCCATTTTCCTCAGTAGCCCAGTAGCCATATTACCATAAGGGCACCCTTTTTGGGGTTTTTTGCTACTTTAAAAGGGAACCTTGAACCAAAAAAAGGGAAAAAGGCTACCACTGGGCTGCCAAGTTTCAGTCTCGATGACCAGATCGCGGTTCCGAAGGTAGTTCCGGAAGTCAACGATCCGCCTCGTGTGGTTTGCGCTGTGAAGGTGCTGGCCGCGAAACCTCCCATGCCCAGGCGGAGGCTTCTTGATGGACATGCCGACTCTGAACCGCTTATGGGGCTCCAACTTGCTGATCGCCACATCTTCGCAATGGGGGTGGCAGTCTCCATACCTAAACCCTAAACCCTAAACCCTAAACTCTAAACCCTAAACCGGACATCTTTGGAGACAAAAAAAAAAGAGCCTGCCAACGAGAGGAGCCTCGGGCACGCCTACTTGAGGGACAGAAGGAAGGACCCCTGAAGAGACCCTCAAACGTATTCCCCTGTATAACCCCCTCTATGTACCTTAGTCGCCTAGTCCCCATATACCTAAGTCGCCCCAAATGACCCCAAGGTCCCTTATAGTGGTCCCTTGAATCGAACGACAGCCCCTAAGCTCGAAAGCCCTAGACCCTCTTGTTTTCTGTCGCCACCTGTCGGCAAGCCTCTGGATCAAAGTTCTCGCGTTGAGTCCGCCGTCTGCTTTCCCAAAGCGTTCCCAGTGTCCGCAACTTGAACTCGGAACTAACCTAAAAGCCTGTAGCCCCCGAAACCGCACACCCCCCCCCCCCCCCACACCGCATATACTTGTAAAGAGCTAAGATACCTGTTTAGGACTTTTGTTGGAACCTGTCTTCCTAAACTCCTTTTGCTAAGAACAAAGAAGTAATTGCACCACCGATATTTCCGAGCGCTGATGAGAAGCCAAGCTGCAGGAGCTCCGACAGCCTTATGCGATGAAACAGCTCATCGTCCTCTCCACCCCATCCCCGGAAGTTGTTTGAAAACCCGTTGATCTTACGCCAGTGCTTCAGTTTCATGCTGATGACGCCCCCAGTGTTGTTGATCGAAGGCGACATCCACCTGTAACGATCGATCTCCGAGCTCAGCTGCGTAGGAACCTCACAAGATGCGTAGTCCACGCCAGGATCCGGGACGTAATCAATGTCGTGACTCACAATACAGTCAAAACCGGACCGCTCGTCGGCGAGGTTCTGGTAGGCTGAGATATTGTTTGAGAAGTTGGTCACTACAGCGACGAGGCCAGCGTTGAAGCTGAAACCACGATTCCAAGGCTCAGACTCGAACTGCTCGGCCACGACGACAACCCAGCTGATGTGCTTCGCCTCCGCCGAAAATTGGTGCCAATGTGTCTTAAACGCAGCCAGGTGCGCCTCGCGATCACGAAAGGGGATGATCACAGCGACCCTGCGGGGCCTCACAAATTCGATGTGGCTCGTCACGTTCGTCACCAGAAGCTCCCGGATGCCTGCGCCGGCATACCTGAAGTGCACAGATGTCGCCAGCACCGTCGCAATGGCCATGCAACAAAAGATATTTCGCCAGCGCAGGAATCTTGCTGCCATGGCTTGCAAAAGGCTCTGTTTCAAAAATGTGCACAAGAGTTGAAATTCAAGAGGAGCGTCGTGTGTTGCACACACGAGAGGAGGGGCAATAATCCCTCGCACAACCAGAACCCTCATACCACCACAATTAAAACCCCTTATACCACAACCAGAAAGCGGACCCTACTTCAACCGCCACCGAAAGATGCTACGTGACAAGCTTAGACATGACCTATCATAACATGTCTTTTTATGTTGAACCTAAGACAGACATGGTCCGACTGTGGCTAAGGGGGGCCGTAGGCTGGGGTCCTACCCTTGTACTGGTGGACACGCTGAGCTACGTTGCACTCCTGGCAAATTGGCTGCAGCCCTTTGGTGATGGGTAAGATTACCACCTCCACGCTGCCTGGCAACTCCGAAACCTTGCGCGCTCAAATGGAATGACGCCACGAGAGTGTTCAAAGGTCGTGGGGGCACGGACAGGGTGACAGGCAGGATGGGTTGGGCCCTAAACCCTAAACCCTAAACCCTAAACCTTAAACCCTAAACCCTAAACTGGGGGGGAGCACCACTTCAGCAAGAACATTGCGTGCACAGGTAGGGTGGGGAGTCAGTTCTCTGCATTAGGGTACTATTTGGGGGTCCCCTACATAGTAACGCAGCTTATAACAAGGACCCCGCACAAGGGACCCTCATTTCGAGAACTACCCAGATGGAGATCTTGTGCTAAAGCTCTACGACCCAACCCAAAACCCTTAACCCTTAACCCCAACCCTAAACCCTAAACCCCAAACCCTAAACCCCACAAACAACCCTAAACCCAAAAAACAGAAACCCTAAACGCTAAACGCTAAACCCTAAACCCTAAACCCTAAACCCTAAACCCTAAACCCTAAACCCTAAACCCTAAACCCTAAACCCTAAACCCTAAACCCTAAACCCTAAACAAGCAATCAACTCGAGCCCTGACAGCCGACTGAAGGTTCACATGACTTTACCTTGACGCTGGCAGAAGCGGAAGCCTCAAAAAACACCGAGAGGGTTTTAGGGTTGAGGGTTTTAGGGGTCTAGGGTTTAGGGTCTAGGGTTTAGGGTTTAGGGTTTAGGGTTTAGGGTCTCAGGGTTTTGAGGCTGCAGGGTTTGAAGGTTCGAAGGGCTTGAAGGGCTGAAGGGTCTGAAGCGTCGAAGGGTTGAAGAGTTGAAGGGTTTAGGGTTTAGGGTTTAAGGTTTAGGGTTAGAACCCCGAAAGCTCAACAAACCCTGTGTCCGCATTGCAGGACTAAACTCGCAGCATCTGCATGCTTGGCTCAGGCTGCTGCAGCGACGCATTGTTCGCGCCTGAGGTATCACTGGAGCACATCAAGCTCACAAGTCTGAAGAACTAAAGTACACAAAAAATGTACTAATCAAGGGACTGGCGGTTTAGGGTTTAGGGTTTAGGGTTTAGGGTTTAGGGTTTAGGGTTCAGGGTTTAGGGTTGAGAACTCATTGAGCCCATGCAAGACAACAATCTGTGTGCCGCACGGAACACCAGCAAGTAGCACATCGTGGGTCCTCTTTTGGTATGTAGGGTTTAGGGTGTAAATTCGGGTTTAGGGTTTAGAGTTTAGGGTTTAGGGTTTAGGGTTTAGGGTTTAGGGTTTAGAGCTTAGGGTTCAGTTTGGGCACTTCCATACCTAGTAAAAGCCTATGCGTATTATGTGCTCCTGCATTCTCCCATGGCACTGCGTGCAGCAACCAGGTTTTGACGCTGGACCCTGGGGACCCCTGGGGAAGGAAGATGCTGCGTCTTGCCGTTCCCCGTGATTGATTGGAAGAGGGAAACCCTCAACCCAACCCGAAACCCTGAACCCAAAGCACTCGGAAAGCCCACTCTAAACTAACCCAACTTCCCCCATCCCCCCTCCCCGTCCCCCTCAGAGAAAGTGCGAGAGAGGGAGGGAGAGTGGGAGAGAGAGAGAGAGAGAGCGTGAGAGTGAGAGAGAGAGAGAGAGAGAGCGAGAGAGAGAGAGAGAGAGAGAGAGAGAGAGAGAGAGAGAGAGAGAGAGAGAGAGAGAGAGAGAGAAAAAGAGAGAGAGAGAGAGAGAGCGAGAGAAAGAGAAATAAACAACAACAAAACTCAACCCTCAACTAACCCTCGAAACCCCTCACACCTGAACGCTACAACCTAGATACCAAAAACCCTAAACCCTACAACCCTAAACCCTACAACCCTAAGACTCTAAAACCCAAAATCCCTAAACCCAAAAACTCTAAACCCTACAACCCTCAAACCCTACAAATCTAAAACCCTAGATCCCTAGATCCATACAACTTGAGAGTCTTGTCCCTGTCCTGCCTTCTGGTTGTGGAGGGCGACATGGAGTCGCTAATTAGTTTGCATGGTTGTCCAGTGCATATGCCCTCATGACCATGCTCACTCTGATACATTGCAACATCAAAGCATGAGCAGGCTGACTCACCTGAAAACATGAAACTGCCTTGCGAGGAAAACTTTTTCTAATCTTGCTGGCTCAGCGGCCCAGCTTTTTGCAGGTACAGGGTCAAGCGTCCTTGACCCCTTCCCACCTCTGGCAATAGCTTCGTTGCGTGCAGTATGCCAAAGGTGCTGCACGCCCCTGCATGAAATCAAAAAGGTTTCAAAACGGAAAGCCAAGAAAACGAAAACTTTCATGGATCCGACGTGTAGTGCAGCAAATCGCATGTATAGCAGAATAACACAAACAGGCCCCAGAGGGGCCACCAAGCGATCATTCAACCTCGATGTATCCATGAATTTGACCCACAGTTCCGATCCGGCGCTGGGCTTGATGCAAATCCACTCGTCTGATGGAGGAGGAATCTCTGGTCCTTCTGGAATCTGAGTGCCATTTTTGGACACGTGCTGTCCAAGTTGCCAACTTGGCGCGGTTGGCTTTGCTCAACGTGAGCCCTTCAATCCATGCGCTGACCTCTTTGTCATTTTTGCATGTTTTCCAATTGCGGGTAAGGAAGCCCTTTTTGGCCTCGTCCACTTTGCGAACAGTGTGCGAGACATGTGAAGCCATGCCGTACTCCAACTTGCTGTCGACCTGCATAGGCGTAGCTGACAAGGGCTTAGAATCACTGACAACATGTGGCTCACCGGAGCACGTAAGAATCAGCACTGGCATTCGACACAACAAGCTGAATTGACGTGCTCGGCTCATCTCTCACTGCTGGACGACGTCGGGGGAGAGGCGGGCACGACCGCAACACCGGGCTCCGGGACCTGCTGTCCCTCATGCGAGGGAGGGCCAATCTTTCAATGACACGGTTGGCCATTGCTTCATCATGCACCTGAATCATATTAGCAGACGGTCCATAGCCTTCCATCAACGTCAGAAAAGGAGAAGTTGGCGGGGCGCGCGAGGCACCATAACACCTGAACGTTCTGACGCACAAGGAAGGGCCGGAGTGCGGCGAAGAGGAGGAGGAGATCCATGTCTTCCTTCATCAGGGCGGGCCCAGGCCGGAAGCGCTTCCGGAGGAGTCAAAGCACGGCTAACCTCCTGGGCCACTCGTCGACGAATGTACATCTCCACCGACGAACTGATGGGGCCCGGTGGGCCTGAAGACTTCGGAAACAGGTTGAGGCTGTCGTCCGAGGAAGCCCCCATGATTGTAAATGGGCAACAAAAGTATTAGTCACGAAAGCTACAAATGCGCTCGAGCATTGTCTCGTAGAACGGGTCCCCCAAATGCGTGGTCATGCGGAACAACCTGTAATGTTGCACCCTGTTTAGTGTGGGGGGCCCCCCCCCCCCCCCCCGTGTGCAGCTTAAATAGGGTTTATTTGGAAGCTGGCACTCGTGTTCACAAGAGGAAAAAAGGCCCCAAAACGTATACTTATTTACAAGAGCCAACTTCCAAATAGACCCTATTTTAGGTCCTAGGGGGGGTCCCAGGCCTGAATTAAATATGAAGGCCCCGATTTAAATATGAATATTTAATTCTGGAGCTTCATATTTAAATTATTTAATTCGGGCCCGGGAATTAAATAATTTAAATAATTTAAATAATTTAAATAATTTAAATAATTTAAATCCTGGAGGGGGGGGGGGGGCGGGCCTCCTCCCGCAGGAGGAATTAAATAATTTAAATATGAAGGCCCCGAATTAAATATTAATATTTAATTCGGAGCCTTCATATTTAAATTGTTTAATTCTTCCTGCGGGAGGCCCCCTCCAGGATTTAAATTATTTAAATTATTTAAATTATTAAAATTATTTAATTCCCGGGCCCGATTTAAATAATTTAAATATGAAGGCCACGATTTAAATATGAATATTTAATTCGGGAGCTTCATATTTAAATTATTTAATTCGGGCCCGGGAATTAAATAATTTAAATAATTTAAATAATTTAAATAATTTAAATCCTGGAGGGGGGGGGGCCGGGCCTCCTCCCGCAGGAGGAATTAAATAATTTAAATATGAAGGCCCCGAATTAAATATTAATATTTAATTCGGGGCCTTCATATTTAAATTATTTAATTCCTCCTGCGGGAGGAGGCCCGGCCCCCCCCCCTCCAGGATTTAAATTATTTAAATTATTTAAATGATTTAAAATATTTCAATTATTTAAATTGTTTAATTCCCGGGCCCGATTTAAATAATTTAAATATGAAGCTCCCGAATTAAATATTCATATTTAAATCGTGGCCTTCATATTTAAATTATCTAAATCGGGCCCGGGAATTAAATAATTTAAATAATTTAAATAATTTAAATAATTTAAATCCTGGAGGGCGGGGGACGGGCCTCCTCCCGCAGGAAGAATTAAATAATTTAAATATGAAGGCCCCGAATTAAATATGAATATTTAATTCGGGGCCTTCATATTTAAATTATTTAATTCCTCCTGCGGGAGGAGGCCCGGCCCCCCCCCCTCCAGGATTTAAATTATTTAAATTATTTTAATTATTTAAATTTTTAAATTATTTAATTCCCGGGCCCGATTTAAACAATTTAAATATGAAGCTCCCGAATTAAATATTC